TTCTGTCCATAAACCTGTCATAATCTTCTGGAAGTCTCACAACAATGATGATTCTGTACAGGTCAAACCATGGTTTAAATAAAATAGTTGTGTAGGAAGGACCAGGCTTCATGAATAAAGGCAAGAAAAAGGGAAGAATTTTGGCTTTTACTGCTTGTATTTAATATTGTACCAGGGGTTCTAGTCAGTGCAATAAGGCAAGAGGAAGAAACAAAATACAAAGAGTTTTGAAAGGAAAAGTGAATCTATTTTTAGTCACAGGTAGTATAATTGTCTGAATATAAAATCCAATGGGATCTATGAAAGAAATCTACCAGAAAAAATAAGAAAGTTAAAGTCAAATATACACCTCCCATATGATCCAGCCATTTCACCCCAGGTATTGACCTAAGAGAAATGAAAGCATGTCTATAAAAACAACTTATTCACACATATTCATAGCAACTTTATTTGTAACAGCCCTAAACTGGGACTAACCTAAATGTACAACAACAGGTGAAGAGATAAGAAAATTGTTTTGTATCCATATAATGGAATACTACTCAGCAACACAAAAGAATAAGCCATTGATACTTATAACCATGAAAGAATCTTAAAATAATTATGCTGAATGGAGGAAGCCAGACAAAAAGTATATATTATCCCATTTATATCATGTTATAAAATACATAAACTAATTAATAACAAGTTTTGCATGAAAATGGGAGTAGGAGGTGGGGAGAGGGTTGAGAGGACCACAAAGAGATGTGAGGAAACTTTTGGTGGTGATGCTCAGTTCATTATCTTGATTGTGATGATGGTTTCACAATTATGTATATATGTGTACATATATATTTGTCTAATCTTATGAAAGCTTAATTTAAATAAGTGCAGCATATTTTTATGAAAATTATGCTTTAATAATGGCATTAAAATCCAAATTTAACAAATATCTTTCTTCATTGTTGTACAAGACTTCTGCTGCTGCTGCTAAGTCACTTCAGTCGTGTCCGGCTCTGTGCGACCCCATAGACTGCAGCCCACCAGGCTCCCCCATCCCTGGGATTCTCCAGACAAGAATACTGGAGTGGGTTGCCATTTCCTTCTCTAATGCATGAAAGTGAAAAGTGAAAGGGAAGTTGCTCAGTCATGTCCGACTCTTAGCAACCCCATGGACTGCAGCCTACAAGGCTCCTCCATCCATGGGATTTTCCAGGCAAGAGTACTGGAGTGGGGTGCCATTGCCTTCTCCTACAAGACTTCTAGTGTGACTCAGATGCAAATATTTGTCCTCTACATTCTTACTGACCTTACAATATGTTTTTTTTTTTTTAAGCATGGATAACAACTTTCTGCATCCGTGCATTCTATACTTATTTTTTCAACTCAATGTCATCAAATCTGTATTGTTTTCCCCCTTTATATCAAAATAAAAGTTTTAAGCTGTTTTTCCTGAATTCCTTTCTAACATAATTTTGAGGCGTGTTTTGACAATGTGATTTGGAAGGCAAAGGAGAAAGGAAGAAATATGTGAAGAAAACCAGGATCTGAGTCTGCTTTTCCTACTTAATTGGAATCTGGGAAACCAGTCACACGTTGACTTTGGACTCATGGAACTCCCTGATCTGAAACTGTGGAGAGTCAACTCTCTGAAAGAACCTGAGCTAAGCTCCCATCTATGTGTCTAGGGACTAATGATTACGGGGGCTTCACTGACTTTCCTTCTCCAGAACTTTATCCTGATAGCCCTCAGGATTTTTGGTTTCTTTTAATTTTTTTAAATAAAATGAACATTCATAAAAAGCCAGCTTAAAAAAAAAAGTGAGCTAAAGAAGACTTCTTTTTGCTGCTGGTACTTCACAGAGAAGGATCATTTAACACAACTTGTAGAGTCATGGGCTTCCCAGGTGGCGCTAGTGGTAAAGAACCAACCTGCCAGTGCAGAAGATATGAGAGACGTGGATTCAATCCCTGCGTCAGGAAGATCTTCTGGAGGAGGATATGGCAATGCACTCCAGTATTCTTGCCTGGAGGATCCCATAGACAGAGGAGCCTAGTGGGCTACAGTCTATAGGGTCACAAAGAGTCCGACCCAACTGAAGTGACTTAGCACAGTATAGTCATGGAAACATTTTTCCATTCTGAGCCCAGAGCTTTCTCCCTGAACCTTGGCAAATATCTTTGTCTAGATATTGATCACAAATGAAATTTTGTTGGACTGTTTTCAACAAAACCTCTTAGGGAGCTTTCAAAATTACAAATTCACACGTCTCAATTCTGGAAAATACAATTCATGAAATTTGTGGTGCATCCAGAATCTGTAATTTTAAATCATGCACATATTGATTTTATCATCAGCTGTTGTATAAATATCAATTTATAAGTCTTTAATGATTTGAAAAGCTGGGAAAGAACAGTCCTAACTCAAGCTCCAGGCTTTTGACATAAATTCACACCTTTGGAGTTCCAGACACGGAGGAGGAAAATTATTTGGTTAAAGCTTGGCATCAAAATGTTGGTATAACTTTTTGCTTATTACTTATTACCTTAAGTAAGAAAAAGTGTATTTAAGATTAGATATCTACTGAGGGTATTGTTGGTAGGTGCCAGGAGCCAGCACACAAGATCCCACCCATGACAAGGTCATGAGGGGGAAAACCTGATGGACAAGGCGGATCAGGTTTTCAGGGATTCCGAAAAGCTGCCCCCGGCGCTCACCTTAAAGATGATATGTCTTTCTGATACCTGCTTCAATAGACTACTCCCTAATTTCTGTGACACAGGCAGAAGGCCTTCCCCGATCTCTTTCCAAATAAAAATCAATTTAGAACTTTAATCAATAAGTTTCCCGGGTGGTGTATTTTATGAGATTATCCAGGGTGAAAAGAGTGTTTTAATTTAAACTCCTTTGCTGGTATTTCAGTTTGTTTGGCAAATGCGTTTATGCCCTTGGTACTAATATGCATGATTGCTTATAATACCCTAATCATAAAACAGCATAAAGAACCTGATCACATAAAGGCCCTAATAGGCACAGAGCCCTTCTGGGGTGAGGAAGCCCTATTAAGAGAACATAAAAATATTATTCTAAAAATGGTTATAGTTAAAGATTTAGAAAAATAAGAGTTTAAAATTGTTGATTTTAACCAGGAATGCTAAACAGGGGCTTCCTCACTGGAGCTGCAGAGTCTTTGTGTGGTAAACCTTTTAGATAAATTTAACTGATAACTTCTGCAAAAGGACTGACCTTTGTGTTCATTAAAGAATAGATTATGGAAAACAGCTTTGCATTCACCTAGGTCATAAAATGTCAATAGGCCCCAAGGCCAGAAGATAATGTACAAGACCCTCATAAACAAAGAAGTATGCAGAAAACACATGTTAAACTATCTTCCCCTTAGAAATGTACTAACTTAGGGTATAAAAGCCATGGTAAAAAATAAAGCATTGCCAGACCCTGCCAGACTCGGCTGCACCCCCCCGTCTGGTCACTCTCTCTCTCTCTCTCTCTCTCTCTCTCTCTCTCTCCCTCGCAGACTTGGCCCTATCAAGGCTGGTCTCACGTGTCTTCTCTCGCCGACGCCATTCATCCTGAGGGTACCCCCTGGATCCTGCCGAGGCTGGACCCCGGCAGGTAGGATTTAGTAAGATTAGTATTTGTTGCTCAGACAGTAAAGAATCTGCCTGCAAAGTGGGAGACACAGGTTCAATCCCCAGGTTGGGAAGATCCCCTGCAGAAGGGAATGGCAACCCACTCTGGTATTCTTGCCTGGAGAATTCCATGGATAGAGGAGCCTGGCGGGCTACAGTCAATGGGGTCACAAAGAATCAGACACGACTAAATGACTAATACTCAGCCAGCTTGAAATTGTGAGAGAATAAGATATTCATATCAGAACATCAAGTAGAATTTCATAAATTCAAATATGGTGTTTCTTTCCGACTAGGATTCATATTTTCATTTTCAAATGATTTTTACATTCAGGAATATATAACCATTAGTAAGATATGTGACTTTTCCTCCTTAAAAGCTTTTACTAAAAGATAGAATTCCTTACAATTGATATAATTTAGGACTAAGTCCCTCATATCTCAGTTGGTAAAGAATCTGCCTATAAAACAGGAGATCTGGGTTTGATTCCTGGGTCAGAAACATCCCCTGGAGAAGGAAATGGCAAACCACTCCAGTATTCTTGCCTGGAGAGTCCCATGGGCAGAGGAGCCTTGCAGGCCACAGTCCATGGGGTTGCAAGAGTTGGACAAGACTTAGGGACTAAACCAACCAACCAAGGAAACAGTGCATTTCAAAAAGTAGTGATTCCTCAAAGATTGTTTGTTCATCATTTCTGTTTAATTGGACAGATATTTTGTGATGTAATAATCTGAGTTTACTGCTCTACATATTAGGGTACAGTGTTGAAAAAAAGAATCACTCAGTAATGACTTGATTTTTTATTACTTCTAAGTTCAACACCAAACGCTTTTCTGGTATTTGATGAATTATGGCTAGCTCACACTGAATGCATGAGGATGTAAAGGACTGTTTTAACATGCTCAAGGAAATTGGTATCTTTTCAGTTACAGACATACCCTAGGGATGTTCTGTTAAAGGACTTCCGTCAGGTAGAGACCTAATGACAAAATAGACCTAAGAGGTTAGAGCAACTTGGTCAGATTTCCAAGTGCCTTCTGAAGACTGGTATATATCTTAAAAATAAAGCTGGGGATGAGAACATGTTCTGGAGACTAGGTCACAAGCATCCCATTCCTCTCTCTGTCCACAAGGGGGTGCAGCTTCCTGACACCAATGCATTTCCTGTGTGAAATGCAGGCTTCGACTTGTCACTTCACTGTGATTTCAACCTTTCTTCCTCTTCAAAGAAGAAGTGTCAGGTGTCACCTCTTTATTCAGGTGACACTCCAGAGATGAGCTCCTCTCCAGGTTTAGTGACTGTGATACTCCTAATGCTTGGTAAGTAAAATGCCTCTTAAAACTCAGATTCTTCCTTCTATTATGTCAGCAAAATCTTTAACCATAATTTTATCCCACAAAGATATGCCCAAGGTGACACAAAATTTTTATTTATAATTTGCCCAGGACAAACCCATGGAAACTCAGTGACCCAGATGGATGGCCAAGTGACTCTTTCAGAAGGGACTTCTGTGACTATAAACTGCACTTATTCAACATCTGGATACCCTGCTCTTTTCTGGTATGTCCAGTATCCTGGAGAAGGTCCACAGCTCCTCCTGAAAGCCACGAAGGCCAACGAGAAGCAAAGCCACAAAGGTTTTGAAGCCACATACAATACAGAAACCACCTCCTTCCACTTGGAGAAAGCCTCAGTCCAAGAGTCAGACTCAGCTGTGTACTACTGTGCTCTGAGGGACACAGTGACGGAAACTGCAGGGGGAGCTGAGCACAAACTCTGAGCAGCAACGGGGCCTGGATGCGGAGTGTCTCTGACCCTCTCTGGCCCCAGCAGAGTTTATGGTGGTTTGTGGCTCAGTCTCTGATTGATACAAACATCATACCAATGTCTAGAGCATGAGAACAAGAAGTAAACACTCCCCTGTGTGAGTGCTGAGTCACTTCAGTCATGTCTGACTCTTTGGAACCCCTTGGACTGTAGCCCACCAGGCTCCTCTGTCCATGGAATTCTTCAGGCAAGAATACTGGAGTGGGTTGCCATACCCTCCTCCAGGGGATCTTCCCAACCCAGGGATCGAACCTGGGTCTGCTGCATTGCAGGCGGATTCTTTACCACTGCATCACTGGGAAACGTTCCCTTTACCCAGCCTCTTATGGTGAAGCTAAAAACTGTCTGACACCAATGGCTCCTTATCAAAGACCAAAGTAATTTCAAAGATAAACCACGTAAAAAATGCAATAGTCCCTTGCTCATCCTTGCAGTCAAAATCCATGCCCTGCAGGTTGTTCCAGGCCAACTTGATGGGTTTTGCTTTACTGAGTTTTATCATATTTTTAGTATACAATATACTTTTAGAGAGTGAGAGTGCACCAGAGAAGGTGTCATTTGCATAGTGTCTTCCTGACAGAGCATGCAGGAGAAGTAATAGGAGAGCTACAGCCTCCAAAAACCATGACTTTGTAAAAACTTTTATTTTTAGATTGAAGTAGAGTTGATACGTAGTGTTGTGTTAGTGTCAGGTGTACAGCAAAGTAACCGTCATGCACACGAGTATAGTATGTGATACACGCAGCATATGGATTCTTTTTCAGATTTTCCCTTATAGAGTTTTGCAAAATATTGAGTATTTTGTCATAATCTTGAAATTGTGGGATATAAGGAAGTAAGAGAAGATGGTGTATTGAAAAGAATAATAGAGCAATCAATCTCTGTATTGCACTGCAAATATACTGCTGGTCTTTGCAAATGTTGGTGCAATCCTATGTAATCCACATCTGTTTATTGGCACACTAGGAGTACTTTCGCTGTTTGGGAAAAAGTTTTAAGCACAGATGTGAACAACATATGTTTTCTGGTTCTGCAGTGGCTATTATGATAAGAATGACTAAAAATATTATTGCCCTTGAAATGCCTGCTGCTTCTAAAATATTTTTATTGGCTTCATTCTTCCACATTCATGAAAATTTTCTTCTACTTTTTTCAAAGGCTATATTTGTAGGCTTTGTGAATGAGCTATAGTCATAAAATTAATATATTTTTGTTATGCACTGTTGGTTTAAATCTAGTATATATTAGCTATGCATTGTTGGTTTAAATCTAGTTAATTTTTTATTAAATTGGTTTAAATGAAAATTTTACTTTTAAAGTTCTATAAATAAAACCCATGTCAAAGTATACTTTAAACAATACATAGTGTTGTGCAATAAAATGTTTTCTCTGAAATTTGTATAAACATAGTAGATTAATAATACACATTTATCTCTAAGATAGTAAAGAAATCAGAAAGGTATAAACCTGCAAGCACAGAAAGAATAGATAAGGAGATCACAGCACATAGTGATGTCAACGAAATGTCAGAAAGTGAGAAGTGTAAGGAAGAATTAAAGCTTGTGTTACAGACTAGACGAAGAAGAAACCTAGGTTCAGTTCGAGAGGTGTCACAATGTGAGCTGTGGAAGAGTTTAAAAGAGAAGGACCAGTTATCTTTGAATAGTTGAGAAAGATGGTGCTGCTCTCGAGAGTGCCTGTGTATGTGTGGGTTGAAGGTTTGTGGCGGGTGCTAAAATAGGAGGCCTGAGTGAGATTACTTATAAGTAAAGCACATCAATGCTCTCCACGATTCTTTATAGTAGTGTTAGTTGCTCAGTCATGTCTGACTCTTTGCGACCCCATGGACTATAGCCTGCCAGGCTCCTCTGTCCATAGGATTTTTCCAGGCAAGAATACTGGAGTGGGTTGCCATTCCCTTCTCCAGGGGATCTTCCTGACCCAGGGATCAAATCTGGGTCTGCCTCATTGCAGGCAGATTCTTTACTATTTGAGCCATCAGGGAATTTATAACGAGCAATAATTGCTTTCTAAATCCAAAAGAAAAGTGGAAGTTAGTCTTTGATGAATTAAGAACATCACATACAAAATTGTTCCAAATTTTGTGTATTACCTGGGCTTCCCTAGTGGCTCAGATGGTAAATAATCTGCCTGCAATGCAAGAAGTTTAACACACATAAAACCAGCACATTTTAATAAATATACATATTTTTATATAGAGTAGATATTATTCACCACAGCTGTGTAAAATTTTAAAGATATGAAATATGGAACAGAGGTTAAATTTATCCTTGGTAATCCACAGGGCCAGAGAATCCAAATCACAGGAGAGGGGCTTCTACCTCTGGAAATGAAGTAGTCTTGGTTGCCCAGGGACCATTTCTTACAACAGGTTCTTTAGGGTCAATCTTCTATTTGTACTATTTCTCTAGAAGACACAGGCAGTATTGAGGCTTTCTTAGGTTTATTCTCACAGAGGTAACCAAAAAATTCTAAGTAATTAAAGAGGTTTTGGCAGAGGAAGATAATTCTGGAAACTCATGGAAGTTAAGGGGAAGTGTCTTGGGGAAAGAACATTTTATTGGGGAAATGTCAATGTCATTGTCTTGGGGAAAGAACACTGTAGTGGAGTTTGGAAGAAAAATAATCGAAAATAGACTCTGAGCCAGCGATGGCCAAGGCAGCAGAAGCATGCCAGTAGAACTGATTCATCCTCTGGAGGAAATTCCACTAAGGCTCTGAGTAATTCACTGCTTTTAAGATATGTGTGAGTTTAAGGTGTCTAATATAATGATTTAATATATGTGTTTGATATATATATATTTTGAAGTGATAACACTGATAAAGTTAGTGAACACATCTTTCACTGCACATAATTACCAGGGTTTTTGTCTTGTTGTTACTATAGTGAGTATATTTAAGGTCTGTACTCCTAGCCACTCTCAAATGAAAAGTACAGTATTGTTAGCTATAGTCACCATTAACAGGCAAGACCAGCTTAGAGGAACACATTCTAATAGGCATTTGGGGGTATCAAATGATCTTTTTTCTCTTATACTCTTCTTGGGCTTACATGTTCCTTTTAGAAAGATTTTCTCCCCATAGTAGACAAAAGAGCATGGCATACAGGCTGAAAAGGAAGGTTTTATATTTTTATGTTTAAGGGTGAATCATGGTGCTTTTCTAATTTCAAAACTAATATAGGCCCATCACTGGATAAAAAGCAACAGCATCTACCTCCTTCTAACTTATTAAAAATGACTCAGTTGTGTGCAGGGGTGTAAATCTTGATCTCTACATCCTTACTGTGCATTTAAATTTACAACCTAAGATGTTATTTGTTTGGTCATGGCTGTTTTTATGCATCAGAGTCCCTCATAGGCACAGGTATGAGAAAGACATTTAACCAGAGAGTTCAGTAGTTAGAGATGTAACCACCAGAGGGTGGTGCACCTCTGCTGATCAGAACATGTGGAGGGTTCATTTGAGTGGATTCTGAATGGATAGGTAGGCTTGGAGCAGAAGCAGAGCCTTTTCCTTATTGGCTGGGTAGACAATGAAAGAAACCACTAGAGAAAAGAAGGGATCACTTGGTAACAGAAGCAGCTCTCCTGGCCAGAGACTGCAGGTCCACAATTGATCCTAAATGGGAAAAACAATGAAGACACCCACTGGAGCTTTAATCACATTCTTGTGGCTGCAGCTGGACTGTGAGTTGAGGGTTTAAGGGAAATAGAGTATATTCGTAGATATTCTTTAGATGCCAAGACTGGCTTTATTCAGGTTTCTTCTAGTTATTGTAGAAAAGGAAAAGTAAACTCTAGAGCTAAATAATCTGACAACCCTTCTCCTTTCTCTGACTTCTGCTTTCTCCATAGGTGTCAGCCTGGGAAACAAGGTGGAGCAGAGTCCTTCTACCCTGAGTGTCCAGGAGGGAAACAGCTCTGTTATCACCTGCACTTATACAGATGGTAACTCACAGTATTTCCCTTGGTATAAGCAAGAACCTGGGAAAGGTCCCCAGCTCCTCATAGCTATTCGTTCAAATAAGGACAAAACGAAAGACCAGAGACTGACTGTTTTATTAAATAAGACGGCCAAACATCTCTCCCTGCACATCGCAACCACTGAAGCTGGAGACTCAGCTGTCTACTTCTGTGCGGCAAGTACACAGTGCTTCCCAGGCATCTTCTGTCTGTACTCAAACCTGTGACTGGGGCAGCCCCTTTCCTTTGGTGCAACTTTCAAATACGACAAATGCTATATTGTTTGTCTGCAGGTGGAAACTGATGTGCTAGTCATAAAAAACATGTGAAAGAAAGTGAAAGTCATTCAGTTGTGTCCAACTCTTTGCTACACTATGCACTATACAGTCCATGGGATTCTCCAGGCCAGAATACTGGAATGGGTAGCCTTTCCCTTCTCCAGGGGATCTTCCCAATCAAGGCATCAAACCCAGGTCTCCTGCATTGCAGGCAGATTCTTTACCAGCTGAGCCACAGGTGAAGCCCAAGAATACTGGAATGGGTAGCCTATCCCTTCTCCAGGGAATCTTCCAGACCCAGGAATCAAACGGGGGGCTCCAGCATTGCAGGTGATTCTTTACCAACTGAGCTATCAGGGAAGCCATAAAAAGCATTGGATAAGAATATTAGGCTCAAGGGTAGCTAGAAAGGGTTAGAACATGTTGTTGGATACCTGTTGCTTACTGAATTCTTGAAGAGAGTTAGTAATTTACTGATTTATTTTGAAATTGTAAGATCGACTTTACATTTTGCCATTCAGACTCCTGTTCTATAAATACTCCCCGTTATCCATATCACAATCCTTATTATGAATGAGTTTTTAAAATACTGTGCTTTGAAAACAGCATATTTTTCTGATTATACAAATCACATGTCAAATATAAGAAAATACTTTATATAATTAATATGATATTGACAATTCTATGATCACACAATGTCACTAATATTGTTTACTTTTTATAAATTCCTATCTTAATTAGTATCTTTTTCCACTTAATATTAAATATTGAACTGAGCATTCCTCATTTCATTGTCTTGTTCCCAAACATCAGCTTTGAAATAGCTCTATGAGAAATATTAATAAATATCAATTTACATTGGTTGACATCCCTTTTATGTGCACTGACCACTTTCTTATTGAGAAAATGTGACATGTGTTTTCCTTTAGTGCCCAGTAACAGTATATATTTTTTGTGTTTGAGGAAAAGTAAGATAGAAAGTGATTTGCAAATGTCATGTTCAAATGATTGCAAATCAAATGGTGTATTTGCCTTCTCCTGTCTCTGGACAATCTACTGTGAACTTCATGGCCTTCTCTTGATGCTAGGAGGCCAGTCTGGGTGTTGATAGCCTCCATGTTTCTTCCTTTCCTTGGGGGGATGCTGGCTGCTCACATCAGTCTTGTTTCCTCCAGGCCAGCAGGGTGGGGCCGCCACTGCCCATGCTCACGAGGCATCTGCAGAACCTCACTCTGGCTGCTCTTTGCGTCCTGGGAGCAGTGACAGGGTGGGGTGGTGTTTGAGGCAGACGTTGTGTGGTGGATGGTACCCCTGGGCCACTTTTGATGATTGGCAGGCAAGGCATCCCCGGCGACTGGGGGGCAGTCCTGAGGGAGCCAGTGCCCTGGTAGTAGGAAACTTCTCCACCTTACTGCCCTCCTGGAGACCTGGCTGCCATTCCCGGTGCTCCTCACTCCCCAGCTGAGCAGCACACCTAAGTGTTCTGGGTGAGGAGAGAAAGGGGCGAGTCTTCTCTGTAGGTTCTCCCAAAGCTGGAGGGCAGATGCTCACTCACAGGCTCTCACTTTCCTCTGGGGAGAAACCACAGGTCAAGAATGTTTGTCCTGGAGCCCAGCTGTGTGCTGTGAGGGGAGGGGTGATGAAGGTAATGGGAAATTGTTCCCCTAACCCTCTGCAGTGTGTCTGACGTCAGACGGTGTGCTGGAACTTCTCTGCTGGATTTCTGGACTTCTCAAAGCTCTCTTGGAGTATGACTGTGAAAATTGGTTTTTGGCAGGGTGAAAAGATCAGTATTTGAAATCTTAATTCCTAAGTAATTACATAGAAAAATGGACTATTTTTTATTTATATTTCTGTTTATTTTGAATTTTAATCCACTGTGGAGTTCACGTAGCCATCACAAGATCCTGACACAGAACAGCCTCACTGCTTCCCAGAATGCTGCGTGCTCCCCTTTTGTGAAGACAAACTGCCCGATTCCTGTGCTGTGCTATGCTTAGTCGCTCAGCTGTGTCCGACTCTTCTCGACCCCATGGACCGTAGCCTGCCCAGGCTCCTCTGTGCATGGGGATTCTCCAGGCAAGAATATTGGAGAGGGTTGTCATGCCCTCCTAAAGGGGATCTTTCCAACCTAGAGATTGAACCCAGATTTCCTGCATTGGAGGAAGATTCTTTATTGACTGAACCACCAGGGAAGCCCATGAATACTGGAGTGGGTAGCCTATCCCTTCTCCAGGGCATCTTCCCAACCCAGGAATTAAACTGGGGTCTCCTGTTTGCAGGCAGATTCTTCACCAGCTGAGCTATGAGGGAAGCACCCCCCGCCCATACCTAACTCCTATCAAAAATTTAAAAAAGTATAAATTCAGAGTTTGATATGAGACTGTCCAAAGAATTGCTCTGGGTATGAATGTATTTTGAGTAACAGAATACAATCATGAGATCCTTTAATTGAGAAGTTTAAAAGATTTAAATAATATGAAGAGAAATTAATGATATTTCATATTTAGTGAACCAGTTGTTAGAAAAAAGTTGGGTGTTTTTAAATTAGAGAACAATTCCTACTGTATGTGGTTCCATTAAACTTAATGGAGATTCCACTGCAAGATCTAAAGATGGTTCAAACAATTTCGCTGAGACTGTCATTACTGTGACAGGAAGATGTGAAGTGGACAGTGAAGTGAAATTCACTCAGTCATGTCTGACTCTTTGTGACCCCATGGACTATACTGTCCATGGATTTCTCTAGGCCAGAATACTGGAGTGGGTAACCTTTCCCTTCTCCAGGGGATCTTCCCAACCCAGGGATTGAACCCAAGTCTCCAGCATTGCAAGTGTATTCTTTACCAGCTTAGCCACAGGTGAAGCCCAAGAATACTGGAATGGGTAGTCTATCCCTTCTATAGTGGATCTTCCCAACCCAGGAATCTAACTGGGGTCTCCTCCATTGCAGGTGGATTCTTTACCAACTGAGCTATCAGGGGAAGATAAGTTTTGGCTAATGTATCAAGAAATAGGCTGTGATAGGTAGTGGGTCTTTGTTGTTTGCCATTGTGTTGAGTCATATCCCTAGGCATGGCTTTCCTGTTATATTCATACACAAAGATTTATTACAGACAGGAAGTGGTTAGGGCTGTGGTAGCACAGGTGTAGGATTGGGGGTGGAATCAGTGGTGATCTTATGATTAGCTGTCTTATGGAGACGTGTGAGATCACTTGCTATGTATTTCCTTTAGAGATGGGCATATAGAATATATAACAGTTTGGTATGGCTTGTTTATGGTCCCAGTTGAGTTAATGGGATGAATATAAGTTCAAAGGCTTGATAACCTAATGACAAAACTAAGGTATCTAATCTGACTTTCATGAACAGAGCTGGACTGTCAAAATTAGTAAAGAATAAAAGGGGATATCTGTGACAGGAGTCAATCTCTGCAACCTCAGCCTAAACTCTTTAACAAAGGATGATTAGATTTTCCTGCTTTGGCCCCAAGATGGGCAACTGAATACATTGATAGTGAGGAGAAGCATTATTGTAACAATAGGCAGAAAGTGAAGAGGAACTAAAAAGCCTCTTGCTGAAAGTGAAAGAGGAGAGTGAAAAAGTTGGCTTAAAGCTCAACATTCAGAAAACTAAGATCACGGCATCTGGTCCCATCACTTCATGGGAAATACATGGGGAAACAGTGGAAACAGTGGCTGGCTTTATTTTTTGGGGCTCCAAAATCACTGCAGATGGTGATTGCAGCCATGAAATTAAAAGACGCTTACTGCTTGGAAGGAAAGTTATGACCAACCTAGATAGCATTTTATAAAGCAGAGACATTACTTTGCCAACAAAGGTCTGTCTAGTCAAGACTATGATTTTTCCAGTGGTCAGGTGTGGATGTGACAGTTGGACTGTGAAGAAAGCTGAGCATGGAAGAATTGATGTTTTTGAACTGTGGTGTTGGAGAAGACTCTTGAGAGTCCCTTGGACTGCAAGGAGATCCAACCAGTCCATCCTAAAGGAGATCAGTCCTGGGTGTTCATGCTGAAACTCCAATACTTTGGCCACCCGATGCAAAGAGCTGACTCATTGGAAAAGACCCTGATGTTGGGAGGGATTTGGGGCAGGAGAAGGGCAGGACAGAGGATGAGATGGCTGGATGGCATCACCGACTCGATGGACATAAGCTTGAGTAGACTCCGGGAGTTGGTGATGGACAGGGAAGTCTGGCATGCTATAGTTCATGGGGTCACAAAGAGTTGGACATGACTGAGCAACTAAACTGAACTGAAGGGAGATAGAATAGAAGAGCTAAAGTGCTTTGTCTTCTTACCATAAAGTAATTTATTTCTACCTTAGGTGGAAGAACAGAACACAGATGTGAAGATGCATGGTTAGTGTGTCTTATATTATTTCCATAATACATTACAGATAATAGTTTTAAATAAGAGCTGCTCACTCATTTCCTTCACAGAAGCAATGACCCAACACAGCATTGTGTGTGTGTGGTGGGGGAGGGTCTGCCTTGAAATATCAAATTTAACTTGTGTTTATTTTAAGATATAATTGCTACGAGTCGAAGAGCTGGTTAGTACAAAAGGAGGTTTGGGGTGAGTAGGACTCTCACCTGGTTTATAGAGAAGTTGATGTAACCCACATCAACTTGCTACTCAACTAACTACATCAACTTGCTACTCAACTTGCTACATCAACTAACCCCTGTTTCCTGTTGTGGGGCAGCAACAGCACATACCCAGCAATTCTTCTCTCACCCTGTCAGGCTCATCTCAGCTTGCACATTGAAGAAGATATTTTCCTTCTAGTGGAAGAGCTGAAACATGCTTCTCTCCAGCCTTCTGAAGGTGGTCGTGACTTCACTGTGTTTAGGTAAGGATGGTCCCAGTGGGATTGTGCCTCCTCTGTGACCTAAAGACCAAGAGAACAGGCAGTCTTAAGGGTA